GCATGTGGGATCTTCCCGGACCAGGGCTCGAACCCGTGTCCCCTGCATTGGCAGGCGGATTCTTAACCACTGTGCCACCAGGGAAGCCCCTATTTCCAGTTTTGGTGGTTGAGTGAAGCCGACCGTGAGCACCTGTGCTCAGCTTTGAGTGTGAACGTTTGTTCTTATGGGTGTTTCTCGTGGGTGAAAGTGCCCAGGGGTGGGGTTGCCTGGTGGAGTCGCCTGTCCGCAGTGCAGCCTCATTACTTTCCAAGGCGGCGGCATTATTTTCCTGTGCTCCCGGCAGCGATGCTGAGGGTCCTGGGTCCTCTGCACAGGAGTCTGACTGGCACACAGGTCATCTCACTAGAGTTTTGATTCACGTTTCCCTAAGCATCCGTGCTGCTGGCCCCCTTTCCGCGTGTTTATTTGCCGTTCCTGTGCCTTTGGTCAGGCGTCCGGACAAATCCTTTGCCTGGTTTTTAAAATTGGAAAGAAACTTACTGTTGAGTTGTGAGAGTTTCTTTTATATTCTGGATTTCAGTTGTTTACGAGATATGTATTTTGCAAATTTTCTCGTTTACAAGAGAGAAGTATGTGGAGTCTGCCTACCCCAAGGCCACAACGATTTTATCCTGTTTTCTTGTAGAATTTTTATAGTTCCAGGTTTTACTTGCAAGTGTAGGACCCATTTTGAGTTCATTGTTTCGTGTGTGGTAGAGGTGATGGTTCTCGGGTCCTTCCCCTTTTGCGTGTGAATGTCCAGTTGTCCATCTCCACCTGTTAACCTCTTGACCGCCCCCCATCTGTAGGCACCTTGGTCCAACCCGTTTGCCGTGGTGCCCTTTGTTCCTCCTCTCTTTTCCATTGATGCGGCCATGCTTGTGCCAATCCGCGCCGTCTGGATTACTGTAGCTTCACGGCAAATCTGGATCAGGTGGGAATCCTCCAACTTTTGTCCTTTCTCTTTTTCTTTTTGGTCGTGCCACGCAGCTTGCGGGATCTTGGTTCCCTGGCCAGGGACTGAACCGGGCCCTTGGCAGTGAGCGTGCAGGGCCCTAACCACTGGACCGCCGGGAATCCCCTGACTGTCCTTTTCCACGTTGTGGAGCCTGTTCTGGCGTCCCGGATTCCCCTGTAAAGGGTAGGGTCGGCTTATTGGTTTCTACAGAAAGAAACTGTGGAGTCTTGATTGGGATCACGTTGAAACTATGGTTGAGATCAGTGTGGGGGAGAATTGGCATCTTCACCAGGACTGAGTCCTCTGCTACAGGGACTGGCAGGCTGCGGCCCACTGCCTGTTCTCGTGTGACTCATGAGCTAAGAATGGTTCCTACATTTTTAAATGGTTGAGAAAAAAAAATCAAAAGAAGAATACTTTAGGACACATGAAAATTCCATGAAATGCAAATCTCAGTGCCCATAAATGAAGCCGTGCTGGAACGAGCCGTGCTCGTGCGCTTGCATTTGTCCTCACTGCTTCGGGGCCTCGGTATGGTCGAGCGGTGGTGAGGGCACCTCACTTGCTCACCTGCCCACCTGCGGTGCCGTCATTGCGAATCACACCTACGTGTCGTAACTCGGCAGCTCGGAGCCCTGTCTGCATCCCCGTCCCCGCCGGGCGAGCAGGGCACCCGGGCTTGGGAGGTGGTGGCTTTAGGGGCGTGGGCGCTGTGCCGAAGGGACGCAGCGTGTGTGGGTGCAGCCGCAGGGCTCTTTCACGGAAGTTCGCGAACCGGACAAGAGCCTCCAGCGGGGTCTGCTTGCTCATCGGCTGGGCAGGCGAAGCCGGTTACTGGTGGTGGCGTCATTCAGTCGTGGTGGTGGCAGCTGGCCGAGGAGCAGCCTTTGGGAGGCTGGTTGCCCGGGTTGAGGGGCTGGGAGTGGGCATGGGGTGCGCGGGATGGGCTCCCCATGAGGAGACCGGCCTCTGTGAAGAGTCCGCCTGGACCAGGCACAGCCGAGATGTTCAAAGAAGTGGGGAAAATGCCAGCCTCGTGCCGACTGAAGCGGGCTCTACTAGGATGCTGTGTCTGCCCGGCTGGGCTCGGGGAGCCGGGGGGACGTCGTTTCCGGTGCGGCCACCAGGGCATGGTGGGACAGGTCAGCCTGGATCGGAGCCCTCCCAGCACAGCAGCGTCCAGTCTGTGGGGCCTGATGGCGCGGAGAGGCGCGGGGCTGGCATCCTGCTCGTTGCACTGGGTCATCCATCCTCTCCTGTCCTTGGACATCGGGCTTCCTGGTGCTCAGCCTTTGGACTCAGGCTGATTCTCGCCACTGGCTCCGGTCCCCAGCTTGCAGACGGCAGATCATCTGACCTCTCAGCCTCCAGACCCACGTGAACTGACTCGTAGGACAGACTGCTGTGTGCGCGAACAGAATTTGGTGTATGGAGCAGAACGGCTCGGCTGGACTCCTGGACAAAGCTTGTTAACACATCAGGTGCCTGGAGCCCGTGGTCCGTCGGGCTGCTTGTCAGCAGGCGTTTGTGCAAAATGTTGAGTCTCGTGCTTCATCCCACCTGTTGTGTCAGCGGTGAGCTGCACTTGGCCTCGAGGAGTCAGCCGTCATCAGTTCTGTGAATTTTTATCAGAAGTGGAAGCTGAGGACTTCCCTGGTGGTGCAGTGGTTAAGAATCCGCCTGCCAGTGCAGGGGACACCGGTTTGACCCCTGGTCCAGGAAGATCCCACATGCCGCGGAGCAGCTAAGCCCATGCACTGTAACTACTGAGCTCGCGTGCTGCAACTGCTGAAGCCCGCACGCCTAGACCTAGGCTGTGCTACACAATAAGAGAAGCCACTGCTCGCCGCAACTAGAGAAAGCCTGTGCGCAGCAGTGAAGACCCAACACAGCCAAAATAAAAGGTGGAAGCTGAATGTCTTGACTTGCCCTACCACGCAGCAGCTTGAGGGCGTAGCAGTGGTTAAATTTTACTGTGATTTCTTAAATTTGGGGCAGAAATTGGCATTTTTCAGAATGAGAAGCACACTCAACCACGAGTATCGAACGCTGAGCGCCTTTGGAAATTCGTTTCTGCTGCATGCTTGATGATGGCCCTTTGTGAACTCATCTCAGAATTGCATGAAATGGCCCTTCCTGCAGACTTATACTGTGGTACATCCATCTTGGTGATGACTGACGTGGTTTGGATCCCAAACTGCTTTATACGGTTTCTTACCGTCAGATGTTAAAATGGGATCTCCATTCCGACCAGGTTTGCATCGGGCATGTTCTCTGCGTTCAGACCACAGTCCCCGCAGTGTGTTCTGGGCCGCGGTGCGCGTGCGAAGGAGGTTTCTGTGTTTCAGAAGCCACGTAGCTGCCTTGAGGAGCTGCCCCACCATCTGTACCGTGTCACCTGCTGCAGTTCTGGGTCAGCAAAGCCATCACACTCATGGCTGAGTTTAGTACAACAAAAGGATATACACCAGAATCAGCAGAGGTAAAAAGGTCAAGGCTTCCAGCTGGCCTGTCCCAGGGCCACAGGTGGTGAGACCACACGCAGCTCGATGTCCAGGCTGTTTATCCAGGTCGGTCACGTAGCCATGACTGACCATCAGCGTGGCTGGCCTTAGTGTCCAGCCCTCCGGAGGTCAGGTTGATCTCTGGCCCACCACAGATCACACTGTCGGCATGGTCTGTGTGGCCCGTGCCCCCAGGTGGGCAAAGGCTCCCATCAGGCAGGACCCTCCAGGGGCTTTGGGGCAACCTCCCAGGAGCAGGTCAGGGGCCACACCTTCCTTTGGATGTGCAGGGTGTGGATGACCCAGGCCTGCTGGGTTCACCCTTCACTGCACAAATGCTGAAAGGGAAAGGTCGAGAGAAATCTCAGAGAGTCCAGTACGAGTGTGCTCAATTAAAATTTCATGCTTGCAGATGGATATCGTTGTTTGGGTACTTTTTATGCAGAAAGACATAGAGGCCGCGTCACAGGTCAGCATTAACAGGGACGTTGCGATGGGTTTTCGTGATCCAGAACGTGAACTTGAGCCCCGATGAAGCAAATTGTCCTCCCCCAAAGCAGAATTCCTTAGTAGGCCAGGATTATCACAAAAAAGTACACTCAATTATTATTGTTTGGATTTTAATTTCATTGGCAGAATGTTTGTGGAGATGTATTACGTTAACACCCAAGCGATATCTTTGGTTTGGCCTCTTGCGCGAAGCCTGAAGTATTTACTCTCTGGCCCTGTACTGAAAAAGGTTGACGGCCTGTGTTTTGATCCATGATGTCTTATGTTACGATTTATTTAGATTTTGTTGGTTTTTCTCAGTAGCGTTTTGTAGTTTTCAGCATACAGATCTTGGCACAGAGCTTTTGATCCTCAGAGATCTGTAGGTTGTTAATACTTCAGTACTTGTGTGAGCTATTGGAAATGGTACTTTTAATACACTATTTTTGTATCCTATGAGCTTGCTAAACCGTCACTCGTTCGTTTTTCTTTTTTAAGTGAAAGCAGGTTTATGGAGAGGGCAACGCATGCCATAGGCAGAATGCAGTCCATCTCAAGGCACGAGCGGCCCCTCACTCATTAGTTTTAATAGCTTTTTGTAAACTCTGGGAATTTCTCTGTGGACAGTCATGTCCTCTGCATTTAGAGAGTTTTCTCTCTTCCTTTCCAATCTGTACGCCTTTCATGTGTTTCTTTGTTCTCCTCGTGGCACCGACCAGGACCTGTGGGTGAGCAGCAGAGCAGGGGATCGACTCCCGTGCCCTCTTCCGGCTTCAGGGGAGGGCACAGTGTTTTCATCAGTAAACGGGACTTCACTGTAGGTTTTTGGTAAACGCCTGCTAGCAGGCGAGGATGTTCCCCTGAATTCCTAGTTTGCGTCAGAGGTTTTTTGTTTTTTAACAAATTTATTTATTTTTGGCGGCGTTGGGTCTTCGTTGCGGGGCGCGGGCTTCTCATTGCGGTGGATTCTCTTGCGGAGCACGGGCTCTAGGCGCGCGGGCTTCAGTAGTTGTGGCTCGCGGGCTCTCGAGCGCAGCCTCAGTAGTTGTGGCACATGGGCTTAGTTGCTCCGCGGCATGTGGGATCTTCCCAGACCAGGGCACCCGTGTCCCCTGCGTTGGCAGGCGGGTTCTCAACCACTGCGCCACCAGGGAAGCCCCTGTGTCAGAGTTTTTATCAGGCATTGTGTAGGTTTCGTCAGCTCTTCTGCATCTGTTGAGATGGTTTTTCTGCTTCATTCCACTGCTGTGATTTCGACGTGTCCCCAGGTGTGACTCCCAGTGGTCAAGGGGCGTTGTCCCCTTGCTGGGTGGCCAGCTTCCATGTGCAGAGGTCGTGCTGAGAAGCTGTGCTCCAAGTTGGTGAGGGGCGCTGCCCTGTGGTCTCTCGCGGTGTCCGGCCTTCTGAGCCACCGGGGGCTCCCTGCTCTAGTGCTTTCTGGGAGAGTTCGTGTGGACTGTGTTCAGCCTCCCTTCCGTGTTCGGTGCGATTCACCAGCGACGCTGTCTGGGCCGGGGAGGGGCTGGGGCTTCGTTCTCCCTTTGGAAGGCGGTTGCCTCTGCGCTCCGTCCTCTTCGCGGGTGCAGGGGAGGCTCGTGTCTCCTCCCGCTGCTGCTGCCTCTCCCCCTCCTGCCTCTTTCTTTGTTCCCCACCTACCAAAGCACGAGTTACAGGCGGTGAAGCCCAGTCCTCAGAAGCTCAGGGCAGCTGCCGGCAGGTGTGTAAGTGCCGCCCGGGCACAAGACGCACAGTCCCCCGAGCCCCCCGCTGCCCCGTGTCCAGGGCACCTTTCCTGGCGCTGCCGGGACTCTGTCGCTGGACGCAGACCTGCTGTCTGCCTGTCTGCCACCCCCTACCCTCCCGGGGGAGCGTTTGGGTGGTTTCCAGTTCCTGACACGCAGGAGTAATTATTTCAGGTTTAATTTGCTCTTTATCTAGTTTCTTAGAACGAAAGCTTGGATGATTGATTTGAGACCCTTTTATAAAAACTGCTTAGTTGAGATAAAAGCTACATGTGATAAAACCCGCCCATCTGGAGTGTACGGCCCAGTGAGGTGCAGCGTGGCCGCAGTCGCCCTGAAACAAGCTCGTGCCGGCCAGCCCCTCCCGCAGGCCTCTCTTTGTCCAGCCAGCCTCCGGGCACACCCCTCCTGTGATCCCTCTGGGGTCTTCACCTCCGTCCGGGGGCACCTGGGCCGTGTGCACATGCAGGCCTCAGCGGACTCCAGCCAGGACAGCCTCCCGGTCAGCCGTCCCCTGCGGGGCTGGTCTCGCGGCTGTCCTGGGCTTTCCCGGGTGGACCCCGGGGCCTCCCTGAGCCAGAGCCCCACTCGCCCTTGGGGGCGTTGGGGAAACGGAGAGCACGTGTGGTTTTTCTGTGAGGGGAGCCTGTGCTGACTTGAAGTCTGGGGGACCCGGCAGGGCGGCAGCACCCTCAGGACCCCGCTCCCCTGGGCCCCCGACCTCGTGCCGCCCCGGCGAGCTCCGTTTCTCCTCCACCCGGAAAGCCCCGGCCTCCGTTCAGCTCTTTTGTCTTTGGAGGAGAGGTGGTGGGACACCGGGGGATGTGCATGGGGGGATGGCCGGGGCCTGGCAGCCTCCATGCCGACGTGGTCTCTGGGGCCGGCCGTAGCAGTGCCTTGACCGTCCTTCCCGCCCTGGCGGTGCCGCTCTTGGGGCCCCCTCCGGGCCGGCTGCAGCCCCCGCGGCCCCCCACACCCCGCCTGAGCCTGGCCCCCGCCTGCCGCCGCAGATGCAGCCGGGCCGCGGGCGAGCGGGCGGCCGGCTCCCAGGCTGGCGGACTCGCGAGGCTGACGCGCTCTCGCCCGTTTGCAGACTACGTCTACTTCGAGAACTCCTCCAGCAACCCGTACCTGATCCGGAGGATCGAGGAGCTCAACAAGGTAGCGTGCGGCCCCGTCCCTGCTGGGGGGCGGGGGTGCCCCTCCCCGGAGAGCCCATCCCTGCGGGTCCCTGGTAGGGTGTTAGGAGAGGGTCTGGGTTGGATGGTTCCAGCTGAGGAGTGAAGGAAGCCGCCTGGGCGCCCACAGCCCGAAGGTCCCCTGCCCGTCTCCCTCCTCTCTCGTCCCACGTCTGCCGAGCGTCCTGGGCAGGCGCTTACGAGTGGATTGGGGGCGGGGCCCTCCTGGGCCTGGTGGGGCGCGGTGGGCGTGGGCTCACAGGTTCAGAATGGCCCCTTTGGTCAGAGGAGTGGGCGCTGTCCCGTGCAGACCCCCAAGCCCGGTGGGGGAAGCCCCCCCACGTCTCCTGCCGCCCTCCTTAGTTGGAGGCATTGGCGGGGGTACTGGGGGAGAGGGCATCGGTGTGACCCTCCTCTGAGGCCACGGCTGCGGCCACGGCGGTGCCCGGTCAGCAGGGCCCTTAGCTCTGCCGCTTCTCTCTCCCCTGGTTCCTGCAGAAGGGCGGCTGTGGACCCCCGCCCTGGAGCAGCCCCCGTCCCGGAAGCCCTGTTGTCACTCGTGTTGGCTAGGGGCCACCTTGTTGTGCCTCCGTGTGGCCAGCAGGGGAGGGGCTGCTTTCCTGGACCTCAGGCCTTGGGGCGGTGCAGCCGATTCTCAGGACCATGCAGGGTGGGGCGGGAAGGTCAGGGTGCCGGTCTCCCAAGGATCAGACTAGCCGTGGCGGCACCCCGACCCTAAGGCCGTGCCTGCTGGGACCAGGAGATGGGCGGCGTGCCCGTGCCCCGAAGCCTCAGCCCTGGCCTGGGCGTGTCAGTGACCGGGGCTGGGGGCGGTGGCCGGATGTCCCGTGAGGCCACCACACCGCTGGAACCAGTACGCTGGCGGGCGCCTCCCCCGAGCCCTGCTTTCCGCCCACTGGAGCCGTAGGGCGGAGGGTGCAGCCCGTGCCCGCTGCTGCGATGGGAGCAGGTGTCTGTCCCGCCCCACCCCGTGCGGATCACTGAAGGCGTGGCTGGGGGCCAGGCCTCTGCGTGGAGTCGTCCTGGCAGGCGGGGCCGTGGCAGCCTGTGGTCGCAGGGTGGCCACGGTGCCCTCACTCTGGCCGCGACACGCCACGTGTGTGAGGGAGAGGCAGTGCCGCCCCGTGAGGGTGGACGCAAGTGTGGGCACCAGGAAGTTCTGCCAGGTGGGGTGGTGGAAAGGGGCGTGGGTCCAAAGCACCGGGGAGCACGGATGTCTGCTGTGGCCCTCGGGGTCCTCGGAGCCCTGCACCCCTGCTGGCCTCCCCTTCCACCCCACGGGGCATGGGGGCTTCGTCCCGGCTGGAGAGGTGGGCACAGCCCAGGCGATTGTAGTTCAGGCAGGGGCTGAAAACGGGGTCAGTTTGAGGGCCCTCCGCTGACGGCCCCAGGATGCTGGGCAGCCTCGTGTGCAGAGGGAGTGGAGACGGAGGGTGCTCTCTGGGGGCAGATCTGAGCCGCTGGCGTCGCGTCCCAGCAAAACGCCTGCTCTCAGCCTGCGACCTGGACGGAGCAGGGAGGACGGCTTCCACCGTGAGATCCATCAAAAGAAACCGAGGAGAGAGCTGATGAGGGCGCAGAGGAAACTGAGGCCAGACGAGCCGGGGGCATCCTCAGAGAGACGTGGCGGCCGCTGTGACTGGGGAGACTCGGGAGTGAGAAGAGGCTCCTGGAAGTCAGTAGCAGAAACTGGGACGAAAACACAGAGAGAAAACTCAGAAAAGTAGAGAGTCCTCCAACGGCCCAACGTCCAGTTAGTAGGAGTCAGAGGAGACGAGGGCCCTGCAAGCAGAGGAGTGGCCTGAGAAAATGCCCCCACCCCAAGGTCCTCCAGAGCCACAGCCCCGTCCAGCCCCCAGGACAGCGGGCGCCCCGGCGGAGGGCACCCTGCGGGCCGCTGACCAGTCCCCATGCCGCCGCCCAGAGCAGCGGGGGGTGGCGCGGGGTCCTGGCGGGGCCCTGGGGCAGACCCTGGGGTGAGCACTGAGGGGTCAGGAGGAAGGGGGGGCATGTAGACTGGGGCAGGGGGCGCGGGGTTGCTCTGCGCTTTGTCTCTTTTCTGTAAATGAAAACAAGTCTAAAATGAGTTTCCTTGGCAAAGCCCAGCTCTTTTGAGCCCCTCGGGGCCCCTCTCCTGGGCCGTGCCCGACACCAGTTCCCCCGGCCCTCCCGGGACCTTTCAAAGTAACTGTCGAGTTTTCTTCTTAGAACTTTGATTGGATGTATGTGGCATTCACGTTGTTTTCATGAAGAGTTAAATCTTTACACTGCTGGAGAAAATTGCTGTTGTGAAAGCACGGGAAAAGGCTGGCGGGGGGGTGAGAACGGGGGTGCGTGGAGGGGGGCGCGGAGGGCAGACCCTCGGGACAGGCGTGGGGGGGGCGGCGTGGGGACCAGGCCCCGTGCGGGCCGGCTGGGTGCCAGCCAGGCAGGAAGGGCCCAGAGGGGACCAGAGGACGGGCGGAGGCCTCCCGGGAAGCCTCTGTCGTGGGATTAGAAGCCAGGTTTTAGGGAGGCAGGTTGGACCGTGGGGTGTGGGAGTCTCCGAAAAGTCCAGCAAAGGATGAAAGGCAGACGCCGCTGACCCCAATGGGACATCTCCCCGCATCCCACGTTGTCCTCCAGCAGGGTCCTCCTGGGGGGCCAAGGACCCCACTCCGCCTGCTCCCGAGCCGTAGCCACCCCCACCCAGCCTGTGGGAAGGCCCCCTGCCGTCCTGCCCTCGCTCCCGGGCCGCTGAGCCGGCCTCCGTGGAGACAGGAAACGGGCGAGGGTGCCCTGCGGTCGTCCCAGCTTTCCTCCCACAGGCCCTTTGGGACCCCAGCCCGGGGGGAGATGCAGGCAGGTGCAGGAGACACGTGGGGGGTGTGAGGGGCGAGGCAGCAGGGGTCCAGGCAGAGCACCGGAGGGAAGAGCGCTCTGGAGCCCTGGGTCTCCAGGGTCCGGCCCAAGCCAGGCTCGCAGAGCTGAGGTTGTGCGGAGCAAAGCACAACCCCAGGAGGTGCACGTTCTCGGGGGCCCCTGGGAGGGGCTGCACCTGGTGTGGATCCAGGAGGGGGCATTGCTGCGACGCCACAGGCCCGCTGGGGGCAGCCTCCGTGGCTCCGAGACTCAGACAAAGCCCTGAAGACGCAAGGCCCAGGTGCTCCTGGAGGCCGGGACCGTGGCTGCCGCGGGACGCTCTCGCGTGGTCCTTCTAGACTCTGTCCAGTTGCTTCTGTGGTCCTGACGCGGTGTCAGATCATCTCCATCGTGTTGAAGGCCCCTCGTCGTTCCAAGCTCAGCGGACAGTCTCCAGGACCATTTCTACGAGGCGCTTTTCGGTCTGGGAATCCCATCTTGCAAAACTCTGGGCACCCTTGAACACTGCAGATGTTTACAGGTCTGACACAGCCGTGCTGACAAGCTGACAAGTCGTGCTTCTAAAAACCCAGTCTCCACATGCCGAAGACGGACGCGTCATCTTCAGGCCCTCACGCTCACTTGTTTTGATACTTGATCTCGGCTTTCCTGGAAGAATTCTGCATGCCCTTTCTATTCCTTCGTGGACTGGAGTGAGGATGGTTTTCATCAGCGTGCACTCTGCAGTTTTGTGATGAACCTGTAAAGCAGCGGAGTTGATAGCACTTTTAACTTACGCTCAGTGATGTGAAAAATTCCGAAGGCTTTTTCTTGGGAAAAATTCCTGGTCTAATGGAATTTAATAACTAAAAGGGAAATACTTCTCATAAAGATAATTCCGTTTAATGTTATAAATGCTGCTGTGCTAAACTCTACAAAGGTTAGAATTGTGATAAAATCCTTGCATTATTATTAAAAATTTTGTAAACTCGTTAGTTAAGAAAAAACACGTTCTCGGTATGAGGTTACCACCCCGCGGGCCTCACGGTGTCCTTGCTGCTGCTCGTTCTGTCCACGTTCGTTGGACGCTTTGCAAGCCCGGGTGCGGGAGCCGCCGGGTGGAGGTCAGTCCTGGCCGCTGCCGCCCATCCTGGTGCCGAGGCCGACGCTGAGCCCCGCCGCGCTGCCCTGCCCCTTGGAGGCGGGTCCAGGCCTCAGGGCCGCGCCTCTCGGGTGCTGCCCAGGTTTCTGCTCGTGGCGGGTGACGGAGGCCCGCAGTCGTTGTCCTTGATCACACCCCCTCTGGTGCCCGAAAGGAAGGGGCAGCTCCCGAGGCCAAGGCAGAGCTGGCCTTTCTGGTGGCCGGGGTCCACCTGGTGTCCTCAGGCGGCTCGGGATAGGACAGGAGTTGGGGGTGCAGACTCGGTTTAGGTCCGGTGTGCGTCCCCTCCGTCAGCCAGCGTTGCCGCTGCCCTCCAGGGCCCTCCCTGGGGCATGGGCTCCGCATGGCGAGCCCGTCCCTGGTCACACCTGAGGCCCCGTCTGGGGGACACCCCTGCGGGGAGCCGCAGGCCCACGGGGCATGCGTGCCTTAGACCCTGCCTTGCTGTTGCAGACGGCCAACGGGAACGTGGAGGCCAAGGTGGTGTGCTTCTACCGAAGGCGGGACATCTCCAGCACGCTCATCGCCCTGGCCGACAAGCACGCCAGTGAGTTTCCCAGCCCCCCTCTCCAGCCCGCCTGTAGCTGCCGCCTCAGCCCCCGGGCCGGTGTAGACTGAAGTCCCTGCATGTCCCTGGGGCCTCCTTCCTTCTCTGAGAAGCGACCCTGGCCGTGCTCGTCCTAGGGTGTGGCTGCGCTCATCTACCTGAGGAGTTTAATTGGGGGACTTTGCAGATCCTTGGTTGGACCACTCCTTGGATGGCGCAGGGAGTGCTGGGCCCTGGGCTCCAGGCCTGTGGCGGGGAGGGGCAGGGCCGCTGGCGCTCTTGTCCAGGCCAGGCCTCTGCGCCACGCAGGGTGGCCGCAGGCTGTGCGGCCGACCCTGAGGGAGCAGCCGGTTCTTTGCCGGCCTTGTCTGGCCTCATGGGAGGATGGGATCCCACCTTTGGGTTTTGGCCTCTGTCAGCAGCGTCCCTGTGGCACGCCAGTGGTGGACCCTGAGGCTGTGCCCAGAGGGGACAGAGATGGGATACAGTGCCTCTCAGCCTCCCACCCTAAAGCCTGTGCCCACCACCCTAGCACTCTGGCCTCCCGGTGCCGAGGAAAAGAGGAAAAGAGCCGGGGTCTTAGGGGTGCACAGCTGCGTGGCCCAGTGGAGTGGTCTGTGCAGTCTCTGGCCCTGCAGGTGTCAGCACGCGGGCTCGCGTTCATGCTGTCAGGACGCTGATAGGGGCCTTGGGGGTGGCCCTGGCGGTAGGTGACCTGGGGGTGTCGATGACAGAGGATCTCCTCCCCGTGTCCGCTGCTCAGCCCAGAGCGACTGCAGCCCCTGCCCCTCGGCACACGGCGCGCTGTGTCCACGGGCCCAGGCTCTCCTGCTCTCAGGCCCCCGGGGGGAGCTTGGCCAGGTGTTAGGCCCTGAGACCCGTGGGAGGAGGGGGTCCTGCAGAAGTGTTGGAGCTGGCAGGGTGGGCAGAGGCCCTGCGGTGCCGGCGGGGCTTCTGCGTGCAGGGAAAGCTCCTTGCCGGGGACTTAGAGCCAAGCTGCAGGGAACACGTGTCACGCGCACGGGGTGTGCTGCTCTGAGGAGGCCACCCGCTCCCACCAGCTCACCGCCTCTCAGTGCGGGGCCTCGGCTGTTTTCTCAGGAGCCTGTACTGCCTGCTCCATCTCACAGTGGTTTGTGCAGAAACCACGTTTCTCGGGGTTGACTCTCCTGGTGTGCGCATCTGTGAGCTCACTGCAGCTGGGGCGAGGCTGGTCCACCTCGCTGCCCAGGGCCTCGCCCAGCGTCAGGGCATGGGTGTAGGGACACTCTGCGGGGCCTTCTGGCAGGAGGGGTAGAGACCCAGGGGAGCCCACTGCACGGTCAGATTAGCTACTCGAGTTTCTTCTGGGCCCGGGGGCCTGAGGGACAAGCTTCCGCCCTGCCCCTACCAGGACGTCCAGCCCCTGGTGCAGCACAGATGCCCTGGGGCCACACAGGCCTCCCCGGAACGGTAGAGCCCTTGCTGGGGTCTCCAGGCCACATTCTGCTCCGCCACGGCCCTGTCTCGAGGTGTGTGGCCCCCTCCCACAGAGCTGTCCTGAGACCAAGGCCTTGCCCGAGGGGACAGTGGGCACAGGTGATAGGTCCTCCCTGCAACCCCCCAGAACCAGCTGCAGGGGCTCGGGAGAGCCAGTAGGGTGTGTGAGCTGAGCTGGCATAGGGTGGGAGCCCAGAGCCTGCCTGGGCCTTGTGGGGAAGGCCCCCCAGCTCTGAGCCCAGGGCCCGGGCACCCTGGATCCCAGAGGGAGGGGCTTTTGTGCCAGGGGCCATGTGCCCTGGGTTCCTAGAGGCCAAGCGCCACAGCCCACGCTCGTTTGAGGGTCCGCTGGGGACGGGGCCTGGGGGCTGTGGGGAGGCTCTCTCCTGGTCTCCCAGGGGCTGGAGGTTGGCCTGGCTCAAACCCTGGCCACCCCTGAGGCCTTAAGCGTGGCCCTGGGGTGTGCGTTGCTGGGTCCCTCCTCACCGTTGCTGATGGCAGGGAGCCCTGGTGGGCTGGGGGTCTCAGAGCCACTGTGAGCTAGTTTCAGGACAGGGAGGGGTGGTGCCTGCAGACCCGGAATGGATGCCCAAGGGCCTGTCGCGGGCAGGGGCCAGGGTGGCTGCCCCCGGCCCGGTCCCTAGCCATGCTGCGGGGCCAGCGGGGCCGTCACCGGACAGGCGTGAGCAGGATAAGGTGTGGGGGTGGTGGGCCGGCTTCCGGGTGCTTGTGACGTCCCCGGGAGTGGGCAGGGAGGTGCCGAGGCCAGGCTCCCATCGCCCACGGCCCGGGCAGACTGGCCCTGCCCCTCTTCCCCCAGCGCCCCCGCCCCTAGCCTTGACCTCCGTCCGAGCTGCTGCAACCAGGGTTTTTTGGGGGGGGGCGGGGGGCGTGTCCCCTGCCCAGGGGCACCAGGACTCCTTGCAGCCACCACAGGAGGGCAGCAGAGGGCCAGGGGCCTTGTGGTGGCCCAGAGCCTGGGGGGGCTGGGCTCCACGCCCCTACCTTTGGGTCTTGGGGCAGAGGATGGGTTTCGCCATGCGTCTGGCTTCCCCCACCCCACTGTGCACGACCCCAGACCGCCAGTGTGTGTTTGGGGGCACTCCAGCCCCAGGGCTGCATGTGCTGGGGTCCACATCGTGGAGACCTTCCACAGCCCCACCGCATGCCAGTTTCGAGTTTCGGGCTTTCCCTGTGCCCATCGATGGCCCAGCCCTGGAGGTGTGGCCGAGGCCCCCCGGATCACCATCCGCAGGCAGGAAGCACGCGTTGCTGACCGGCCTTGGGACACGTCCCCCGCCCCCGCCCCCCCACGCTGTGGCTCGGCCGTGTTCCCCGCCCCGTCCTTGCTTCTCCCGACTTCATAGGGGCAGGTGTGTTCTGTGTGCAGGTAGCGGGGCCTCGCTGCCCAGGCTTGTCTGGGGCTCTGCTTGGAGAGTCTTGGGCAGCGTGGGCGTGGGGTTGGCAGGAGCTGAGGTCAGCTAGTAGGGATGTCCAGAGGCTCAGGTGTTCTCTGTCTTTGGCTGGGTGGTCCGCGGCCCCCTTGTCCACCCTGCTTCCTGGCCTCACAGCCCTCAGTCCAGGCCGGGCAGGGAGTGAGTAGTGCGGCACGCTGTCGCTGACCCGCCATCTGGGTGCTGTCTGTCTGTTACACAGCCCTGTCGGTCTGCTATAAAACCGGATCGGGGGCCGACAACGGCGAGGAAGGTAAGAGCCGCCCCTGCGGGAGGGTCCTGAGGTCTGTGCGCCGGGCTGCCCGTGTGCCCGCGCCTGTGTGCCCTGCTGTGAGGCAGGCCTGAGGGGTTCCTGGCGCAGGGAGGGCTGCGGGGCATGGTGGGTCCTGCCCCCCTGTCCTGGACGTGCAGCAGCTGCTGTCTCGCTTTCCCTTCTTTCTCTGACGTGCTGCTTCCCAGGCCAGCACAGGACATTGTCCTCCTTCCTGCTCAGATGCCCGGGGCTTCTGGGGTGCGCTGCGGGGACCTACACTGCCACCTGCCCCGGGTCCAGCGTGGGGAGGGGCCTGTGCAGCCAGCGTGTGGGCCTTTGTCCAGCCGCCTGAGCGTGTGTCTCTGGGACCAGCTCACAGGAGCTCTGTGTCCTTCAGGTGAAACAGAGGAGGAAATGGAGAACCCAGAAATGGCAGACCTGCCCGAGAAGCTCAAGCACCAGCTGAGGCATCGAGAGCTCTTCCTCTCCAGACAGCTGGAGTCACTGCCCGCCACCCACATCAGGTACCCGCCACCCACATCAGGTACCCGGGGGCCGGGGGCGGGCCCGAGGGAGTCCCGCCACCCACGTCAGGTGCCCGGGGGCCGGGGGCGGGCCAAGGGAGTCTGCCCAGCTCCCCTGACGCGCGCCCTTATCTTGCAGAGGGAAGTGCAGCGTCACTTTGCTCAACGAGACTGAGTCCCTCAAGTCCTACCTGGAACGGGAGGTGAGGCCCGGCCGTGGGCGGGGGCTGGGGGGGTGGGCAGAGGCGGATCCTGGCTCCGCTGGTCTGGTCTGCGTGGGCGTTGCTGCTCCCACCTCACGCTGGGCTCAGGCCCTTCCCCGCCCGTGGCGCCCTGAGGCCAGGCGCCCTCACGGCCCTTCCCGGTGTCCCGTGCAGTCCCCACTCCTCGCACCTCCAGAGTGAGGGCCCAAAGTGGGCGTGACGGCTCCCGGGGGTCTGCTCTCCCCACCACCCCCCGCCCCCCAGGAGGGGCACGACTCGTCCTGGAGGGGACGATGGGACCCGTGCTGGCCGCCGTGGTCGCCGTCAGGCTTCCCCAGCGGGCGTGTGGCCCTGCTGCAGTCCAGGCCACCGTCTCCAGTCTTCGCTGGGTTGACCCACGACTGTGTTGGCCAGGCAGCCAGAGGGTTTCTGAGCTTAGGAAACCGAAACCGTAGTGCTGCCAGGGTCTGGGGCCAGGGCACCGACCTCCTCATCCCAGACCAGGGTGGGAGGGGAGCCACGGCGGCCGGTGCCTGGGCCTTGCTGTGACCCCCGAGCTGCTTGCCCTGAGCCCGCGGTGACACCCAGGGCGGGTGCGTGCTGCCCGCCCAGCGCCCCTCCCCCGAGGCGGAACGACCGAAAACGTCCCCAGAGGGTGCACGCGTGAGTCCTGGGAGCAGCGAGAAGCGTGTTTGGGGACGATGGCAGGCCAGCGGGGTCAGGAGCGGCACGGGCACGGGTGTTACCTAGTGGGGCAGGTCGCAGTGTAAGGGAGCTCCTGGGGCCAGGCGAGGAGTGGTTGTGGGTCCGGGGTCCCCTCCCTGCGTGTCCCCACGCACTGCGGGCTCCCCTGGGACCTGCGTGCGGCCACCCCGCAGCGCCTAGCAGGAGTGTCATCGTCTGTGGGCGACGCTTGTTCTCAGCCACGGTTCCCTCTCCCCGAGGCAGGGCCCGGCTCTTCCTGGGGGCCCAGAGGGGCAAGGTGGACGGGGGGTCGGACCGTGGACCATGGCGACAGCAGTCCAGCGAGGGAGGGCAAGCCGGGTGCCGTGGCCCCACCGAGGCCTGACTCCATCAGGCGTTGGAGCACCACCAGGAGGACGCTGCCTGGAGTCGGCGCTGAAGAGCCCCCAGGGCAGCCCGGGCTCCAGGGAGCCGCCACGTGCCTGCCCACGGGACAGAGCAGGGGCCGTGGCCCCCAGGCGTGCGTCCACTGGGGGCTGTTGTCTGCAGTTTAGAAAGACCCCTGAGTGACAGCCACACAGAGGTGGTGACGCGGAGGGACGGCCGTGAGCAAAACGGCGGCTGTGAACCACTTGGTGTCCGGCAGTGGCGAGCGCGTGGGCCCCGTTCGGGGACCTGTGTGTGTCCTGGGCGCACGCCTCGTGGTTTCTGCTGCTCTCGCTCACCTGTCTAGGGGTGGGTGGCTCTTAGCCTGAGACGGCAGGCAGCCTACTGGGACGGCCTCCCCTCCCGGTCTGGGCGGCCCCGGGCAAGAATCGACTGACTGCGCCCAGGCCCGCCATCCTGCTCGGGCCTCAGGGAGTCGGTCCTCGGCTGCGGGTGCAGCCGCAGCCTGCACGGACCCGCACCCAGAGGAGCCCTTGGCGCCGACGCAGGAGCTGGCGGCCGCCGGGGAGCAGAGGCCGCGAGAAGCAACCACAAGGGACTAAGAAAGGCGGCACGGGGACACGGGGCCAGGTAGCAGTCCTGGCACGGGGTGCCGCGACCCTCGGTGTACACGGGGAGACCCCCGGGGAAGCCCAGGGTCGGCAGGCTGGTTTCTGCAGAGCAGCCCAAGCCAGCTAAACGCAGCTTCTGAGAAGCAGCTTTGGCACGTGGAGTGCCAGGCAGCGAAGGGCCAGGAGGGCCGGACTGTGCCAGTTCCAGCCGGAACAGCCTGGGCGCAGGCGTGTGGGGTGAAGACAGGCTCCGAGGCTGAGGGCCGCAGGCTGCTGCTCCGCTGACAGCTCTGGGCACCGAGTCCAGAACATTCTGTAACGTAACCCCCTTTGTGTACATCTCCTGTGACAACTGCACGAAAACGGCACTATCTTCTCAAAGGACGTGCCCAGAATCTGTCAGCTTCGTTCCCAGATGCCTTCGGATTTTTGTTGCTGTGAAATGCTCTCATAAACTCAGTTTTCAAACTGTTGCTGTGGTGGGCACGTGGCAGTGTGGGGAACTGGCGCCACAGCTGCCTCCCCTGCGCTCTCAAGCCTGCTGACCCGTCAGCTCTCTGTGTCTCCCCGACGGTCGCCCCTCCCGTCTGCTGACCTCCCACGAGCATGGCCGAGGGTGCTGTGTATTGACGCCGCCCCGTGTGCTGTTTTCCAGGACTTCTTCTTCTACTCTCTCGTCTATGACCCCCAGCAGAAGACCCTCCTGGCTGACAAGGGGGAGATCCGTGTCGGGAACCGGTACCAGGCGGACATCACCGACCTGCTGAAAGAAGGTAGGGTGGGCCGGGGGGCTGGCGGGGAGGGCGGGGGCCTCTGGGTGTTGGGATGGGGCGGCAAGCCCCAGGACCCCCAGCAGGAGGGGTCGTTGGACCCTCTCTGGCACCTGCAGATTTTGTTTCCTTTCGTCAGTTGTTTTCATAACCTTTTCGAAGCCCTTTTTCTCTCCCAAAAACTCGTTTGAATGGATCTGCCTGTTTCACTGACTTCTGGCGGGTGGTGCCGTCCGCGAGGCTGAAGTGCACGAGGACGCGGTGGCAGCTCCCCTGCCCTTCAGTCCTCAGCAGCCCGGGGGTTGTGGGCGGGCTTGACTCCCAGCTTCTCAGCCCGTTCTGTCCCCGACCAAGCTGCCCAGGCAGGAACGTGGACCCGCGGTGACCAGCAAGGCCGGTGCTGTCTGGCTTGGGGCGCCGTTTGGCGGGCTTCCTTCTGGGGCCATGTGGTTGAGCCCGGGTCACTTGGGTGGTGGCCACATTCAGGCAGCTCAGGTTGACTGGGAGCGCGGCGGGGTCCGGGCCTCGTGGTACCCGCCACCTCCCCTCCCCCGCTTCCTTCCTGCGCGGCCGCGTAGTTGCTGTGCGGCAGGCCCGACGGCTGACCTGCGCACTTGCTTGCCCGGGATGGCGCTCTCTTCGGAGCCTGTGCTCCTGCGGAGTGGTCCCCTGTGTGCAGGGTCATCCCCGCGTGGCGCCCAGGTGTCCCTCAGGAGCGCGGTGTCCTCCTGGCGAGCATCCCCAGCACCTGTGGGGCTGCGGGTTGGGCTTGGCTCCCCTGTGGTCTGTGCCTCGGTTTCCCCTGTGCTGTAGAAATGCCAGACGTCCCTTCTTTCCGTGGCTGCTGCTCCTTTCGGGGACGCAACTCCTGATCCCCAGAAGCTGGTCCGCTTGACCTAAACATCCGCTCTCGGCCTGTGTGCGTGTTTCCTGCTGCACACACGCGCACGAGCGCACACGCGCGCCACACCCCCACGCGTGTGCATCTTACACACACATACACACACACACTTGCCTCCCCTGTTGGTTGGTCTTGGTCTCTGTCTCTGTCTTATGGGGGTTCCTGCCGCCGGTCGGATGTGAGAAGGAGGGCTAACGGGAAGCACCTGGTGGGGGCGGTTCCCTTTGTTCGTGGGTGTCCGGCTCCGTCCCAGGTGGGGTGAGGCTGCCCTTCCCACCAGCCCTGGCGCTCTGCCCTGTGGTCCTGCCCTGGGGCCACTCGCGTCACTTGTGGGGGCCCCCGCACTTGCGCAGAGTCAGATGCGCTGGCCCAGCTGGTCTCCTGGTGCAGCCCGTCCTCCTGCTGGGGGGCTGCGCCTGGCACCCGGGCCCCACTCCAGGGATGGGCATCCTCCAGTGGCCCCGTGGGGCCTCCTGGTCTACACCATCCCAGCCAGCCTGGCTGAGGATAAAGGGCCACATCCAGTGGGAAACAGCGGCGGCCACAGGAGAACACTGAGTGGCTGGAACGTCCGAGGACCTTGCTTTCTGGCCAGCCCTGGGTGCTTGGCGGGAGGACGCGTCTCTGGTCTCAGGGTGCCCCGGGGAAGCCCTGCCTGCAGCCCCAGGGCCAGGGGCGGCATCCCTACAGCCCTTCCTCCTCCCGACCCCTGGGCTGCTGGGGCGAGGTGGGGTCGGCCTAGGCCTCAGTTCCCTGTTCTCCTCCTGGAGCCTGGACCCTTCCCAGCGGGTGAAGCTGTGCCCCTGCCTTGGGCGCGTGAGGTGTCTGCAGGTGCACCAGTGGGCGTGGGCGCCAGCTGGGGCCACAGCTAGCTGTGCCCGTGGCTCTGGGCTCAGTTGCCCGGCAGTCGCTGGGGGCTGGTCGCGGCCTGCAGACCTTGGATCCAGGAGTGGGGGCCCTGCCTTCCTTGGTACCCACTGTCCCTGGGGAGGGCTCTCCGTGCCGAGTCACCACCAGGAAGGAGCCTACCCACGACACCGGGAAAATCCCACCTGTGTTCATCCTACAGATGCAGCCCCCAGGACCCCGACCCCTCAGATCTCTTCGTTCCCACCCCCGGGTCGGTCTGCAGTGCAGGGCTTCTCTCCTGTGAGCCTCTGGCCCGGCGCCGTCCCCTGGGGCCTAGCAGGGCCTGACCTTCCCCAGGGCGAGGGAGCACGTATTTCCTTGGTGACTTCCAGCCGTGCCCGGCCCTGCATGACCGCGCTCGCACAGGGCTCCCGCGGGCTTGCTGAGTGCCGTGAGGGGTCCTGCCCTGGGTCTGGAAGTTGGTCGCCACAGAGAGCGACAGAGGCTGAGAGGGTCTGCAGACGTGCAGGCGGAGCGCCTGAGCTGAGTGGGGTTGTGACCTCGGGGCGGGCGTTCTCTGGACCCTCGTGCTGGCCTCGTCTGCCTCGTGCAGCCTGGAGCACGTGGCAGGTGGCGCTTGGCATGGGCAGCTGCCCAGGAGAGAAACCCTCCTGGCTGGGCCCTGAGCCCCATGCCCACCGCATACAGGGTGAGGAGTGGGGCTCCCGCCTGCAGAGGGAAGAGGCTCCAAGACGGAGGCTTTTGACGCCGAGGGCGCCCTTGGGTGGCAGGCGTGGGTCCGCACTGAGTTGACATCAGTGTCCTCGTTGTGGCAGGGCTGCCGCTGGGGGCTGGGCGCAGCCGCACCCCACCCCGCAGAGCCTCAGAGGAAAGAGTTGATTGGTCAGGTCCGAGCCGCTGCGCCCCTCTGTCCAGCTGGCTGTGCTCCCTGGGCCCTCCCGACGGCACCTCTTCAAGCTCCTCCACGGGGGCCGCGGGCTGCCAGCCCCAGGCGCCCACTGTTTCCAGAGGTGAAGGCCATCGTGTGTTGAGCGCGCCCTGGAGCTCTGGGCCCGACCGCCCCGTGCGTGCACGCGCGCCGTCGCCTCGTCCCTGGGCTCACGCGCCCCCCCAGCCCGCTCCCCGCCTCAGCGGCCTGGTCCCTCGTCCAACCCTGGGCTCCAAGCGGAGCTGCGGGGGTCTTCTCACGGCCTCGGTGTTCTCACCACGCAGTGTTTCGTCCTCCTAGGCGAGGAGGACGGCCGAGACCAGGCCAAGCTGGAGACCAAGGTGTGGGAGGTTCACAACCCGCTGGTGGACAAGCAGATCGACCAGTTCCTGGTGGTGGCCCGGTGAGTGCTGGGCTGGGGCGGCCACGTCCTGCCTGAGCCACTGCCCCGCCCCTGCGGTGGGCGTTGGGTGCCTGTCCTACAGGGCGTCCCCCAGTGAAGGGCCTGGGAGGTTAGAGGGTCCGGGGCCCTGCTCTGTTGAGACCCCCTCGTGGCTCCTAGGGAGGCCTGCAGGGTGGGGCCTGGCCCTTCCCTGAAGGCGGAGCTGGCTCTGGGGGGCTGCTGGGTCCCTGGGTCCAGGAGGCAGCCCGACCTGTGGACCTCAGGGGCCGCCCGCCAGCCGAGGCCACGTAAGCCGGCCGCAGATGGGGGCTCTTTCCCCGGACGGTAGGGCTTGCTCGTCCGGCTCCGGGACTGGGCACATGTGGCCTGGAGGCGCAGGGCCTCCTGGGCACAAAGGGGCAGCCCTCCGAGGAGCAGCTTCTGCCCAGGCCGGCCCCCCAGGGGTCCCTGGGCTGGGACAGCAGGAGGGGAGCTCCTGCGAGCACACGGGGGCCACACGCCCAGAAGGCGCCTGGGCCGGGTGCCGTCGGAAACAGTGTAGGAATGGGGTCCTGAGCCTCAGGACCTGAAGGCTCTGTTTTGTAAGAAGAGGTCTGCAAGGTCTCAGAAACGACGTCCCCGCGCTCCAGACCACAGTGTTCCTTCCCGAGGCAGCCGAGTCTGGACGCCTCTGCGTGTCTGGCTTGGTCCGGCCGCTCCTCCTGCTTGTCCGCTCCAGTGGTCAGCGTCTCTCCTCCTCCCCAGCTCCGTGGGCACCTTTGCACGCGCCCTGGACTGCAGCAGCTCTGTCCGACAGCCCAGCCTGCACATGAGCGCCGCGGCCGCCTCTCGGGACATCACCCTGGTAAGTGAGAGGGCCACCGGGCAGCCGCGGCCCTGTGCGTCTGCTCAGATCAGCACCCGCTCCCCGGGCGGCACAGCCCTCCCTGGGGGGCACAGCCCTCCCTGGGGGGCACAGCGCAGGGCTCTCACTGCCCCTGTGTGGTGACCCTGTCTCATGCTGGTGAGAGGCTGCCGGCCGGCACGTGGTCAGGCCGTACTGGGCCCTTGCTGGTCTGCGGGCCGCACGTCCTCAGCCCGCCCTTCTCTTTCCACACTTGCCACCTCAGAGGCAGCAGCATCTCCCAGAGGACGGCTCGTGCCCTAGGCCGGCCCCTCCTGCCCAGGGCACTTTGGCCCTGGGGTCAGTCACCCACTGTCTGCTGGCTGAGCCCCCCCCTCCTGGAGTCCCGCCCCTGCCGAAGTGGGCCTGGGAGCACACCTGCTCCCCTCTTCTGCTCCGAGCAGCTTGGCCTGTCCCTGTGCTCTCCCCAGAGGCCCCCGGCCGCCCCCCCGAGACTGTCCGTATCCCCTCCCAGGTGGCAGGGAGGGCCAGCCCCTGGGTCCTGTGGCCTCCCACACGGCCCGGGTGTGCCTCCTGCCGGGGGCCAGGCGGGGTGGGGTCGCCCCAGCTCTGGGGCCCAGGCGACCCCGCCTCTCCTGCTGCAGTTCCACGCCATGGACACGCTGCACAGGAGTGTGTACGACGTCGCCAAGGCCATCTCGGCCCTGGTGCCGCAGGGCGGGCCCGTCCTCTGCAGGGACGAGATGGAAGAGTGGTCGGCCTCGGAGGCCAGCCTGTTCGAGGAGGCCCTGGAGAAGTACGGGAAGGATTTCACTGACATTCAGCAAGACTTCGTGAGTACCGGGGCGCAGGTTCAGGGCCCTGCTGTGCCCGCCGGGCCGCCGTTTTTCCGTCCCCTTGTCTGTTAGTGACTCCGGAGGAAACGCCCAAGGCCGCCTGCTGGGGCCTGGGCTGGGCCACCAAGGCGAGGCCCACGCTGGTGTCGCCGGGGTCCTCGCCGGGCCTCGTTTGACTTGGTTCGTTTGGCTGTGTTGGTTGTTCTTAAGTGGCCGAGCGTCTCCGTGTACGTCCTTGCTTTGTGTCCCTTGCAAGTGTCCACCAGTGAGCCCGTGGGGATTCCAGCACCGGCAGGGCCTGTGCCCTCAGGGGCCCCTCCTGCCCTTACAGCCCCTGAAATACACTTGAACTCATCTGAAAGGTGGCCAACTGGTGGTCACTCAGAAGAGCGCGCCTGTGCAGAGAGGGCGGCAGGGGCGGCCGGGCCGGCCTGACCGCGAGCGCCTAGGAGGGGCCGGGATGCAGCGGCCTCGCCAGCATCTGACTCTGAGCAGCACCTCTGCAGCAACGGACGAGGCTGATGCCACAGCACCCACGTCAGAAGGCAGGCGGCACTACTGAGGGTGGAGAAGCATGTCGGTCCCCAGAGGCCATCAGAGGGACCCGCGCAGCCCCTGGTGCCGTGGACACAGGCCGAGCCCAGACAGCCGGCCCCCTGTGCGAGGCAGATGCGCGGAACGTACTGAACACCTAAGCCGGGCGGCAAGGCCTCCTCACACGGAAACAAGCGCAGCGAGGAGGCGGGTGGGACATAAAGCACTCAGCTCGCCACGCCTCCCGCACATCCCGGGCCCCGGTGCGCACAGAGTCTGAATTGTCGACACGCCCGGGAGGACGTCGTGGGAGAATCCGCGCCGCGGGACTCGCCTGAGACGGGCCCGGAGGTGGCGTGGAAACGCAGGGGGCGGGATGGCAGCAGCAAGACTCTGACGGCCACACTGGACTCGCAGGCAGCCTGTGGAGCCCAGAGGTGGCGCCCGCACAGCGGGGGAGCTGGGACCCGGGAGCAGAGTGACCGCGAGGACGTACGGGGGAAGCGTTGCAGCCCACGGTCGTGGGTGGGGCTGGTGTCTGGGCGTCCAGCGCCTTGCGCGACGGGAGGGGGCACCCACCGCCGACCGAGCAGGGCAGAGGTGCCGAAACCGGGGAGGAAGCTCTTGCGTTGAATGGAGTGTGCCTGAGAGGGAGAGAGAGAGGGCAAGGCCTGAGAGGGGCCCTGACGTGGGCTGGGGGGAGGCTCGCCCCCTCCTGGGTGGGGTTAGCGGCCCCGCCATGCCCCCGCCCGCCCCCTGACGTGCCCCTCTCCCCCCAGCTCCCCTGGAAGTCGCTCACCAGCATCATCGAGTACTACTACATGTGGAAGACCACCGACAGATACGTGCAGCAGGTGAGGGCCCGGCCTGGGCGGGGGCCGAGGGGTCCTGTGGGAACTTTAGGGTGAGGGGGCAGCGTGGGGACTGGGGGAGCCCCTCTCCAGACCCACCTGCTGGCCGCCCTGACCCTTTGTTCTGTGTTTGAAGAAACGCTTGAAAGCAGCGGAAGCGGAGAGCAAGTTGAAGCAAGTTTACATCCCCAACTAGTAAGTACGCCCCTCACGGCGCCGCCCCGCGTCCCACGTGGCCCCGTGGTGCCGTCCTGGCTGAGTCCGAGAGAGTCGGGGGCCTGTCATCGAAGCCCGTGGTGGCCCGGGGGCAGAGGTGGGGGCAGCACAGGGCATCAGGACGGGACCCCACCCGGCCTGGGGTTCAACTCTGAGCCGAGCTAAGCGCAGGCAGATGGAGCTGGGGTGTCGACAAGGTGGGAGCTGCTTCTAGAACTCGAGGGGAGAAAGATCACACACCCTCAGGCAGGGGTCAGCGTCTGCCCTGTGGCCAGGCAGGTCTGGACTGGGGCTGCCGGGCCCCAGAGCCGCGCGCCCAGGGCTTGGTGGTCCCGTGACGTCTTCCCTCTCTCCCTTCCTTACCCAAGTAACAAGCCAAACCCGAACCAGATCAGCGTCAATAACGTGAAGGCAGGCGTGGTGAACGGTGCCGGGGCGCCAGGCCAGAGCCCTGGGGCCGGCCGGGCCTGCGAGAGCTGTTACAGTAAGTGCCCCGCCCGGCATCGGGCGCCCCTGCACTGCCCTGGGGCCCAGCCTGGGGGCGGTGGCCGCGCCCTGCCGGGGAAGCCCTCTCGGGGAGTCCGGGCGCCGGGCCGCGGGGGGGGCGCGGGCGGGCGACAGCGCGTGGTGCTCTCTGCCGGCACTGGTTCTGCTTAAGAACCCGTCTATCTCCAACTTTGTTGTCCGTAGCCACCCAGTCTTACCAGTGGTATTCTTGGGGTCCCCCTAACATGCAGTGTCGCCTCTGCGCGTCTTGTTGGACATATTGGAAGAAATATGGTGGCTTGAAAATGCCAACCCGGTTAGATGGAGAGAGGCCAGGACCCAACCGCAGTAACATGGTAAGCCGGTCCCCCCAGCCTGCCCCAGCGCACGCCCCGCGGTCCGGCCCGCGGTCATGGCGCTGTGTTGGGGCGGCTCGCCCCCTTCCGCAGAGCCCCCACGGCATCCCAGCCCGGAGCAGCGGGAGCCCCAAGTTTGCCATGAAGACGAGACAGGCCTTCTACCTGCACACCACCAAGCTCACGCGGATCGCCCGGCGCCTGTGCCGTGAGATCCTGCGCCCGTGGCATGCCGCCCGGCACCCCTACATGCCCATCAACAGTGCGGCCATCAAGGCTGAGTGTGAGTGTCCCTGCGGGAGGGGCGCTGGCGGGGCTGGCGGGGCTGGTGGGGCCGGGGTGTGCAGCCCCCGCGGGAGCTCTTACCCGGGCCTCGCACCCCACAGGCACGGCACGGCTGCCCGGAGCCTCTCAGAGCCCGCTGGTGCTGAAGCAGGCCGCGCGGAAGCCCCTGGAGGCCGTCCTGCGGCACCTCGGTGAGCCTGCTCTCCTCCAGCGCAGCCCTGGCCCCCCCAGGGGGTCCCAGCCTCTCCCCACCCTGCTCCCCTCGCCCCTGCAGTCCCCAGGGATCTGGGTCGGGGGCACTGGCTCTTGTGATGCCTCTGAGCCTGGATCTCCCGCGGGGGCTTCTCCGCGCCCCACGCCCCAGGGCAGGGTCACGGCTGGGTGGGAGACGTGCACACCTAGGCAGCAGCCTGCAGGGAGGGGCCTCGTGGCCTGGGGACCCTGAGCCCTTCGGCCGGCTTTGCCGCCCCGCCCCGCCCGGCTTGTTCCTGGGCCCTTGGCTCGGCTGGGCTCGGCTGGCCTCGGCTGGGCTTGGACGAGGGTGGGGCTTCCCCTTCGTGAGGGCCATTCCAGAGCCGGGAGCTCCCGGCAGCACTTGCTGTGGAGTCTCGGTCCCGGGGCTGGCCTCACCCCGACCCGACCCATGGGAGGAGGTGGTCTCTGTTCCCTGCGAGCCCCCCAGGGCTGTGGGACCTTGGCAGGTGTGAGCCCGTGCCTTCCAGGCCGGCACTCGTGGGCTCGTCCTCGGCCAGCCAGCTGGGCCGTTAAAACTCATCGTCTGTCTAGTGGCCAGCCCTGTGCCGTCAGCTCCGGTGGCCGCTGAGTGGACCTGCTTGTTTATGGGTGTCTGGAGCCTGTAAGCTGCCGGTGGTCCCCGGTGTTGCGGCCCTTCGGCCAGGGCGGAGGAGCCAAGGAGCCCGGCCCCAGCAGCTGTCCCCGCTCGCAGGATGCCCGGGGGTGCTGGCCTGCGGTGCCCTCCCGGGCCCTGGTCGCCATGGGCCTGGGCTCTGGCGGCCCACAGTCGGGCGGCAGGGCTGCTGCCGAGGGCCCGCAGTGCGCCCACCTGCCCGCGTTGCCTCTGCAGAGACCCACCCCCGCCCCCCGAAGCCCGACCCCGTGAAGAGCGTGTCCGGCGTGCTCGGCGGCCTGACCCCGGCCAAGTCGGCCCCCGTCATCAACAACGGCTCCCCTACCATCCTGGGCAAGAGGAGCTACGAGCAGCACAACGGGGTGGACGGTGAGTCCGGCGGGGCCTTGGGCTTGGCCAGCACGGCCTGTGGCCCCGGGGCACCCGACCCTGGCCCCCGCCGCGCCCGCACCCGCTGACCGTGTGTTCTCTCCTCTCTCCTGCCGCCGGGCGCTGCCAGGCAACGTGAAGAAGCGCCTCTTGATGCCCAGTAGGGGTAAGGCCCGGCCCTCCGCGCGTGCCTGTGTGTGCTGTGCTCACGCGTGCGCGGCGGACGGCTCAGGGCACGTCCAAGGGCAGTCCACGCGGGCTGGGCCGCACCCTGCTGCCCCGGCTCCTCCCGATTCACCTGTCGCTCGGCAAAGACCGGAGCGCTGCCCCTCGGGCCCCCAGCTCGCCCAATGCTGCCTCCTGCCCCGGGGCCTCCGGCTCGCGGGCCACCCCTCCTTCCGGGCCCAGCGCCGGTCAGTGGACTGTCCTCGCTCCGGCGGCCCTGGTGCCCCCGCCGCCCGCCTGTACTGTCTGCTGTCGTGCTGCGACTGTCCGCATGCCGCCAGCCTCAGCTTGCGTGGCCGCCTGCGCTGTGCTTGCAACCCTGCCTGCGCCCCTGCCCCAGTGGGGGGCTTTGGGACCCTGGTCTCCTCGGGGGGCAGGTGGGACAGAGCTGTGGTGTGGCCGGCATGGCTGGGTGGGGGTCGGCGAGGCCCGGGTGGACGCTCAGGTCAGGGCCCCGCGTGGAGGCGCGCCCAGGGCTGAGGATCCCAGAGCTGAGGCAGCAGTAGTGCCCTCTCCTGAGCGGGATGGGATGCTCGTGGGGTGTGCGCTAGGGCAGCCCTCTGTGGGACCCTCCTGCCGTCGGCGCCTCTGGAATGTGGCTCCTCTCACCTGCCCAGGGCCCGGCTTCTGCCCCCTCAGCTGGCGGTGGGGTGTTCGTGGGCTGGGGCTGCTCTAGGAGGGTGTAGCCACTGTGGCAGTGTGGGATGTGTCAGACCTGGGTGTCCCAGGGCCCCCTGGGGATTTGCCTGCGGCCGGACCCGTGTGTGTGTGTGTGTTGGGGGGGGGAGGTGAACAGGGAAGCAGCTGAAGGGAAGAACGTGGCAAGTGCACTCGGAGCCCCTCCTGCCAGCCTCTCGTGACAGCAAGGTCAGGTCGGGTGTGGGTACCCCAGCTCCGTGGGGCAGCAAGCATGGACACGTCCAGAGCCCTCCCCAAGCTCAGGACTGGAGGGCTACTGGCCCCAGGGGTCTGGCCGAGGCTTGGCTGTCCTAGGATCTGTGGGAGGTGGGCCGGACGTGGGGACCCGGGAGGTAGCAGCGGCCAGCGGCCACTGGCCCAGCCCTGTCCCCTGTACGCTCCCTCTCTCCGCTGTGTCTGAGAGCCCCAGCAGGCACACCCTGAGGGTCAGCCGGGGGTCCTGGTGCCGGGTCCTGCCATCTCACCCCATCTGGACACAGGCTCTCGCCTGCACCAGGCCCCGCCCCGCCCCTGCCCTGGCTGCCTCACCCACGACCCTGCGGTGGGGCTCTGAGGGCGGGGCGCTAGCCTGCTGATCTCCCTCCTCCCCCCCATAGCCTTCGGGCGGGGAGGCTGTCGCAGCCCCTGGTCCCAGCAGCGGGGCTGGCTGCTCATCTGCCCCTGCGACAGGTGCCTTGGGGATGGTCTGATTACACCCACAGAAGGGGGTGAGGGGCCGCGTGCTCATCAGCAGGCAGCTTTGGGCTTTGTGGTCCGACCTGTGAAAAAGCCGTTAGTTAGCGGGAGGGATGAAATCTTTTTGCTTCTGTCGGGTTTTCCGGGATCGATGTGCTTCCATACCTATCTACTTCAGCCCCAGCGTGCAGATCCCGGGTGGGGATATCGGGGGCTGCACATGAGCCCTGGGAGGAGGCCACAGCTGGCCTCCTGGGGTGCTGTGGGGCAGCGGGGGCAGCAGCGGGTGGCGGGAGCTGGCTCTGGGCGAGGCCCGGCCTCTGGCACTGGTGGGGCCTTAATGGGCTAACAGGCCCACGGACGTGCCTGCGGCTGCATCCACCCTCTGGGCCTGCCGCATGCACGCGCTCCCCTGTAACGCTGACCGTGTGCTTTCTTTCCTCCGCCACCCATCCCTCTGGTAGGCACCTACCTGGGTAAGTAGCACAGGGCCTCGAGGGCTGCAGGCCGGGTGCCACGGCCCCTCCCTCTGCCCTGCCGGGGTTGGGGTACTCCAAGTTAGGAGGCGGTTTGCAAAGGGGAGGGCTGGACAGCTCTTCTCTGCTCGTCAAGAGACGAACCGTGGCCAAGGGGCCCTTTTGGGAGGAGCTGATCCTGGGAGGCCTCTGGCAGGACGCAAGTGGTGGAGACCAGCCCTCATGGGCACGTGCTCCCACGGCCGCCCACAGACTCGCCCCACGTGTGTCTGGGAGCCACAGGTCTCGGGCGCCCGTTGGGAATGTGGACTGAGACCTGGGACGGCGTCTCTCCCCTTCAGAGGGGCAGCTGCTTGTGGCTGCAGACGCCCGGCCGTGGGGTGGAAGCACTGGAACCCTGGCCAGAGCCTGGCCTCCTGGCCACTCGTGGGAGCTTCCATCAGCTCCTCCCTGGGTGGCTGGCCCCAGGGTTTGCGATGGGGGCTGGGGGCCCCTCGGGAGGAAGCCCAGGGTGGCCCGGCCTCCTGGGGTCTGAGTGGTGCTGCCCGGGGCGTGGCCGCCTTGCAGAGGGGCTGCCCGGCGCCGCGGTATCTACACCCACCGCAGACCAGGCCCCGGTTGTCGCGGCCCAGTCAAGGGAGCGAGCTCAGGTCCGAGACTCCGGGCCCCCACCCAGAGCGCCGCCTGGGTGTGGGCTGTGGCTCGGGGGGACCTGGCCCCAGGTCTCCTGCTTCTCAGCTGCGGGTCCTCAGCGAGCGTGTTGAGCGCAGGACGTGCCTTGCCTCGGACCTCACAGCCTGTTCTCCTCCCTCTTGTCAGGTTTGGCGAATCATGGACAGACCAGGCACATGGTGAGAGGGAGGGTCCCCGTCCTCCACACTCGTACACACGTGTGTTCCCACAGCTCCCGCGGGCCTTTGGGGGAGGCCCCCCAGCCCTGCAGGCGCTGCATGGGAGCATCTGGGAGGCCCAGTGGGACCAGAGGAGGGGCAGGCGGCGGGTCTCCATGGCCCTCGGAGGGCCCCCTCCCCGCCCGGGGTGGCCAAGCCTCCATGCTCCCCGCTGGGACCGCCACCTCGGGCTTTCTGGGTGCCCACGTGGAGGCCCCGGGCTGACCCCTGGCGCCTCCCCACCGCAGGGACCAAGCCGGAACCTGCTGCTCAACGGGAAGGCGTACCCCACCAAGGTGCGGCTGATCCGGGGGGGCTCCCTGCCCCCCGTCAAGCGGCGGCGGATGAACTGGATCGACGCCCCCGATGACGTGTTCTACATGGCCACCGAGGAGACCAGGTGGGGCCTCCAGGACCAGCGGCGGGCAGGGGGCAGGGGCCACCGTGTCCGTGTCACTCGTCCGCGTCACTCGGTGTCTCGATCACAGGAAGATCCGCAAGCTGCTCTCGTCCTCCGAGACCAAGCGCGCGGCCCGCAGGCCCTACAAGCCCATCGCCCTGCGCCCCAGCCAGACCCTGCCGCTGCGGCCGGCCCCGCCAGCGCCCGTCAACGACGAGCCCATCGTCATCGAGGACTAGGCTCCGCCCGCCTGCCCGCAAGGCCCTCCAGCCGCAGACCGCGCCCGCCCGCCACCCGCCCGCCGCCCCGCCGCCCGGTTTCGGTAGTGCCCCCCCGCCCCCCCCGCCCCCCCCTGCAGAGAGACTGCTCCTCGGCCCCCAGCGGGGGTGGGGGGGAAGCGCCGCCTAACTTACTCCAGGGCCGCCGAGGAGTCACCTTTTTAGCTTGTGTTTACTTTTTGGCCGGAGCGGAGCTGAGGGGCCGCCCCAGCGCTCGCCCTGCGACGCGGGCCTGCGGGCCGGCCGGGAGTTTCCTTGTGTTCTGTTGAAGGTGCCATTTTAAATTTTATTTTTATTACTTTTTTTGTAGATGAATTTAAGCTCTGTAACTTACACCTGGAATGTTAGGATCGGCGTGGCCAGTGGCCAGCCGAGCTGCCTGGTGGGGTTGGCCCCTTGTCTTTTCAAGTAATTTTCATATTAAAAAAAAACAAAGAAAAAAAACTCATAAAAACAAAAAATCCAACTAGCCCTTTCCGCGTCTTTTGTCTCCAGTCCTCTCCCCGTCTTGGGCCCACCTCACCCTCAGGGCAGAGCCGGCGCTCCCAGCCTGGGCTCCCCCGGCCCGCCATGGGGGAGGACGCTCAGGGAGAGGCACTGGCGAGCAGCGCGTGGCAGGCCTGGCCCGCATACCTGCCTCCCGGAGGCCCTGGCCCGATGCCCACCACCTGGCTCTGGGAGCAGGGAGAGGTCCAGCCAGGGCTCGCTGGCGCTCACTCGGTGGCGGGGGCAGGGGTGGGGGAGCGGAGACCCCCTGTGTCTGTTCAAGGCAGGGGGTGGTCTGGACCTGGCCTGGGACCCAGACTGGCAGGTGCCTGGCTTCCGTCGGGGCAGCCAGCCTAGCTGGGTCAGCCGGCCGGCCAGCCTGCTCCTGGCAGAGCCCTGCCCCAGCTGTCTGCGGGTTTTTGCCAGGAACTGCAGGGCCACCCCTAGCAGGTGTGGAGTTTCCACAGGGAGAGCTCGCTCAGATTTCAGCAAGTCCGCTCTCAGACATCCTGCCTCGGCTGGCCCCCGCACAGCCGCTCCGGGCCCAGGGGACAGGTGTGGCCAGGCCGCGGTGGGGAGGGGTCTGGGAGCCACGCTAACCTCCGCCAGCCGAGGGGCTCCCCTCCGTGAGCTCTGCCTCCTGTGCCTCCAGCCCCACTGTGACGCGTGGGCATCTCAGCTGGGGAACTGAAATAGGAACCACCCTGCTCCCTCGTTGGAGACAGATAAGGGGCGTCCTGGCCTTCCAGGACCCCGCTGCAGGGCCCCGCAGGGTGGCGGGCCAGGGTGTCAGAGGAGTGGCTGTGGCACCCGCCCCCCGCCCCCCGCCCCCCCACAGCCAATTCTAATCTGCAGTCCTGGCACCACCCCTTGCTGCCCCAGGGCTTCGTTGCAGTGTCAGCCGAGGTGCGGTGGGGGGCGGGGGGGTGCGGCGCACGGCTGGGAGGCCAGGCTGGTGACCTTGAGAAAGACACTAGCTTCCTCCGGGGCCTTTTCCAGTCCTGGGGCCTGAGGATGGGGTGGGGTGGGGACGGGAAGGGAGGGTTCTCCCCGGGCCCGGTACTGACTTCCCTTCCCCTAACCTGGCCCTCCCCCCAGGCTGGTCGAGATCTCCGTCCCAAGGACAGGCAGGCCCTGCGGAGAGCCAGGAGCCGGGGGTCCCCCGCCCCCACCCCAGCACTGTGCTGGGCAGGGCCTGGGCTGCGTGTCCGCCTCTCCGCTGCTGGGGGGTCTGAGCCGAGGCTTAGCGGCGGGGTGGGAGGCGGGTGTGGGCGGGGGGAGCAAGCTCTTGGGTGCCCAGGAGTGTTTGCCAGCTTTGGTCTGTTCTCGTGGGCCTGGCAGGGGGCTGTAGCCGTCTCCTCCACAACCCCCAGCGCCAGGGCCATCTCAGGGGGACAAGAGTCCCCACAAGGGACTCAGCCTGGACGCCTGCCCACCGCTGGGCGCAGCCCTGGGGGTCCTGTGGGAGAGCGAGACTGGGCTCCTGCGTTGTGCCATTTGCCAGCGCTGCGGCCCTAGGGGAGGGGCCTGCCTTACCACCTAGCCACCTGGCCTGGCCACCTCGGGGCAGGCCCTGCCTGCTTCCCACGAACTTGCTGTCCTCACCCAGCCCCACGGCCTGCTCACCAGGAGCTGGCCTGGCCTGTACCTGCCCCAGTCCCTAGCCCTCAGTGGCCTCAGAGGCAGATGCCGCTGCTCTGTGTCCCGCGATCTGTGCCCCTTCCCGCCAGGCCCACAACAGCCCCGGTGCCACCAGCCCAGGCACTGCAGCTGGGTGGCAGGGCACCTGCGCCGCCCCACTCTCCCCTCCCCGGCTCCAGGGCATCTGGCCAGGGCCCAGCGCCATTCCTTTGCTCCACCCCCATTCGCTCTCCAAGCTGGGCGACACCAGTGCCCAACCAGTCCGCCCTCCACGGCAGTCCTGCAAATTTCAGGGGCGGGGTGGAGTCACGGAGGCTGATGCCCGGGGGTCCCCGGGGGCTCCCAAGCTACAGAGGAGGTGGTAACAGGTGCCAAGTGGGGGGCAGTGGGCCCATGAATTATTCAGAGACACCGGACACCCAGCCTGAGCCAGGAGCGGGATGTGAATGACTGACCTGCAGGCCACCTTGTCCAAGAAGGGGGGCCCGCTGAGGCCTCCTCTCTGGTCTCTGCCCTGGCTGGCTCGGGGCCAGAGCCCGAGTGCGAAGGGAGAGGGGGCCGGCCAGGCTGGTCAGTTAGGCCTGAGGGGGGCCACGTGTTTCTGGGCTGTTGTCCTCACGGAAATGGCACTGGCTGAAGGGTGTGGGTGCAATGGGTGGGGGCACCGCTGGGAGCAGGGCCGCGGCAGGGCTGCCATGAAACTGACCTGTGAGACTGGCTCACCCAACCACTGTGAATGCGCTGGCACCAGGGGCCAGGAGAGGCGCCGGACGCCACCAGGCAGAGGAAATGGGCAGTGGGGGGCAGACCTCAGTGTCCAGCACAGAGCCTCAAAGACAGGGCAGGGGGTGAGGGGGCTGGAGCCCGCTGCCCAGCCTGGGCCTAGTCGTCTGGGCTTGGGGGTCTGTCCATCTGCCGGACTTGAGGCTCAGCTGGGGATGGAGGTCCAGAGGAGAGCCCATGAGGAGGCAGAGCCCCTGGGAGGTGGCCCCAGCGTCCTCCAGGTCCCGCAACCCCGGGGTTAGGGCCGGGTCCTGCATGGCTCCAGGTGCAGGTAGGGAGAGTGCGAGTGGTCAGGCAGGTAGGTAGGTCCCTGTTGGCAGGAGGGCTGTGGACCCCGGGGAGAGACCCCGAATGCTGGCAGACCCCTAGCTCCCCGGCCCTCCAGGAGGGTGCTTCGGCACCACCAAGCTGGAGGTCAGAGGCCCTGGGCCCTAAGCTAGTGGGGTCCAGACGAGGGATGCCCGTGGCGGGAGCCGGGGGAGGGGATGGGGTAGAAGCTGGCGGCAGGGTCCGCCCATTTGGCCGGCCACAGCACCCTCGAAAGGGGCACTCCAGGGGCCCCAACATCTCCTCCCCCTCCTCTCCTCCCCTCCCTAGCGCCCTCGGGTGGGAGAGCTTGGGGAGGACGACTTCAGAGCCTGCAGCACAGCCCCGCGGGTCCCCTCGGTGCCAGGCATCCCCTCCCCAACCCCCTTCCAGCAGTTTCTCTCGCGCTGTTTTTGGAAGTGGCAGGCGCCCTGCCCTCCGCCCGCTGGGCCTTCAGCACCACTGACAGTGTTAGGCGGGGCCGGGACCGGGCCTGGACCGGTGGCGCGCCCGCCCGGAATGCCGCTCCTATCCCACCGCAAGGCCGTTGCTATAGAAACCGAGCAACAAAGGGAAGCGGGGTGGCGGCGCGCGGCAGGGTGGGGTAGGGTTCCCTTGGGGACCCGGGCGCCAGGACCGGGCAGGGCGGACCGGTCCGCCGTCGGGGAGTCAGTCTGCTTGTCCCGACGCCGCGCTTCCGGGCCGAGGCCCCCGCTGGCCAGGACGCCCCCAGTCGAGGGGGCCGCGGACTCCCAGCCCCACCCGCGGCCCGGCTGGCTGCCCCGACGTTGCCATGGAAACAGGCGAGGACAGGGCGGGCCTGGGTAGAGGCCACCTCGCGCGCGCGACCCAGGGGCGCCCGGCGGGTCCAGTCGCCCCCCATCCGCCCCTGCAGGTGCGCCCCCGCCCCCGCGGCGCCCGGACCCCGAGGGCGGGCTCCCGACGCCCCGCCCCGGACGCAGACCAATGGGAGCACAGACAGCCGGTCGGGCGGGGCGGGCGGGGCGGCGGCGGCGGCGGCGGCGGGGAGACGGGCGCGGGCGGAGGACACGGGCTGAACGGGAGCGCACCGGCCATGGCCTCCAAGTGCCCCAAGTGCGACAAGACCGTGTACTTCGGTGAGTGCCCGGGCCCGGCCAGCACCCCGTCGCCCTTCTCGGTCCAGGATGCGCGGCCCCGACCCGGCTCGCCGCGCTGCCCACGCGGGTGCGGCTGAAGGGCGGAGCGGCGACAAGCTGGGGGCGGCCACGCCCGAACCCCGAAGTGGACGATGGGGGTGGGGCAGGGGCCCGAGGCCCGGCGGGTGGGGGGGCGCGTGGTCCCCCCGAGAATACGCCCGGAATTGGGGGAGAGCTCTGGGTTCGCGGGCGCATCGCGGTTCTCCCGGCGGTGCCGAGCGGGGCGGGGTCGGGCGGGGCAGCAATCTCCGGGCGCTTCTCGCGCGCTCCTGTCCGTCTCGGCCGTTTCGCGCGGACCCCAGTCCCGCCTTCCGCGGACACGTGGCCGGGATGGCGTGGCCTCGACCCGTGACCCCCAGCCCCCACCCCGACCTCTGCCCACGCGGGGCTGGGCCAGGGCTGGGCTCTGTCTGGACTCAGTCCACGCGGGGGCGACCTTGGCCTCTACCTCCTGCGTGTCCCAGCGCGCGCCTTTCCTTGGCTCACGTCCCCCCAGGACTTTCCCGGGGGTGGGGTGACAAGCGAGTCCCCACAGGCAGGAGAGGACGCTGGAGCCTAGGTGGCCAGGCCCCCTGCTTCCTCAAGGTCAGAACAGTGGCATTCAGGAGGAGGTAGCTGGGTAGGAGGGGGTCCTCTCTGCCAGGATGCCCCCTGGGTTGGCGGCACCTGCCCCCCCCCCCCGCCAGCACTGGCTCACCCACACTCTGGCGCTCTGACCCTGTTGTCTGGCTCACCCACTCTCGCTCATCCTGGCTGATCCGACTTTGCCAGGGCGGCGAAGTCCCTGCCCACCGAGCCTCCCACCAACGCCCACACAGACAGACTTGGTGGCACAAGCCAGGATGGCCAGAAGGGCAGGGAGAGACAGGGACAGACGGGGGATCCGATCCTTCTGTTGTCATCTTAAGGGCAGTGGTCCGGGTCTGGACTGGGGACAGGCCGAGGTGAAGATGGCCACTTGGCTTCCCAGCAGGCCAGAGCGCGAGGAGGAGGCCGGAGGAGGCCGACGTTGTTTGCTGTTCCCAGAGGGGAGGGACCGGATTTGGCCTGGAGTGCTTCTGGGCTGGCTGGA